TACCATGCATATAATGTCAACTGGCGTGCTCATTAATATAGTATTTAGCCCACACCCTGCACTAGCTTCGACTTGAGGAGAATCACAATTAGCAACAGCATCAAAGAGTTGAAATATCCCCTCCACTGTGATGGTGAAATGTGGCTGGTACATATTTCTTTCCTGTGATATCTTTAGAGTAGCAGATAGTATCTGCAAAATTAAATCAACCAAAGTACCATTCTCTTGTACTGAAACCAATCCACCACCTAAAAGTCTGTATATACACGATGAGAATTCCATTAGCCCTTCGAGGGCAAATCGTTGCAACCACTCTGTAACGTTTCTGGAGGCTAGAACATCAGTCATGACCTGATACAACAATGTCACAAGGCAATTCAATTAACAAATACACTATACTACATAAGGACTCTTGATGCAAAACAGACAATACTCAATTTGCATGCATTCATCATGTATTCTATACATTTTCATTTGCAAAAATGTAACCAATTTTTTTCTTTCAAATCTATATTATTAAACAGTGCATGTTTGACCATGACTAATAGCATTATTGGACTAATACTGTACACACCTCCAAGACAACCACCAACCGCAAATCTTCATCTCCAATGGGCTTTGTAGTAAACGTTGAGAAAAATGATGAACACCATGAAAATAAACCACAATTTTCAACTAGATGTCGAGCCATCTTATGAAATTTGACTGACTTCCTCACAACCTGAAAAGTGAAAGAACAACAAAAAAAATTCCCCGTCGGATTAAGAGCTCAAAGTTGAAGTAACGATACCCCATAGTTCACAGACTTGAGTACAACCTATATAGAAGACCAAATAAATATATTATTGCGGCAAAATTAACACGAAGTGACATTAAGGGGAAAAAAGTATCACCTGAAGGATTAGTCCTTTAGTTTCATCATCAGCAAGAGGGGATGAGGAAAAACTCATCAATGTCTCAAGGATGGAGTTTCTGATGTAAATTTGAGCATCGTCATCTGATTTCAAGCCCTTACACACTAGGCGAAGTTCCCAAAGCCTCTGTGATCTAAAGTTAACAGCACTGCTCCAGAAAAAATTGTGAAACAAAGGTATTCCCTAACAAAGAGAAAAATCAAAAACAGTTTGAATGCTGGCAAAGTGTAAGGGATAGAGACAAGACTATGGACGTTTCAGAGAATAAGTACCCTCAGCTTCAGTGTAGATGAGCTCTTAATCAGTTTGCTTACAGGAACATAATGTTCGTGAGAAGAATCCAACAATATAAGAGATGTGTCAGCGGCAAAAACAGCAGAAACAGTTGGAATTCTTTGCCATGGTTCCTCAACTCCATTTTGCAGATACATCATGAGAAGCCTAAGCCATGTTACATGCTTATTTTTCCTACAAGACTACATCAAAAAGTTCTAGTTAAACAAATAAATTTTCACCCGTGCCCTTAAAAAGCAATTTTACTTTGGAATACTCAAGAATAAATCTGACCGATGAGCCTTTGCAAAACCAATTACTTAAAGAAAAGAAAAGAATTGGTAGACTTTGGACACAGAACTCCAATGACAAGCCCTCTGTGCAGAAGGGTAGGCCAAAATATTTTCCCTTTCATATCTTTTTCCATCTTTTGTAGCATTTAAGTTACTGAATGTACCATTTACTAAAGGAAAGATAATACCTAGAAATTCTGAAGAGAACTCCAATGGACGGTCAAAACAGGCCATGAATACAGATAAGTCAACAGAAAATAACTATTACCTGAAGGGCGTCCAAAAATATTTCAAGAGTTTCATACGCCAATTTTCTCATCCCAAGATCTGCTGAAGACATGCTAACAAATGCAACTGCAAGCAAGCCTATACTGGCGAATTCCACAGGTTCAATGTATCCCATGGACAACGAGTGTATTGAGAAGCGCAGGATGAAAGCTGGATCATATCTTTCAATGTCATCAATGACAGGTGACCATTTCTACATAGGAGAAGGGATTAATTGGAACAATGCTTGAAAATGCATGTACAAGAACTTCTAACTGCAAATTAAAACTAAAGACGGGTACCTCGCTTATTGGATCATCATATAGGTTAGAGTTATCTGATACATCTGCAGTCCGTTGATATGGGAAAAACAAAACAGTTAGAGCACATAATTTGGGATCAACGCAGAGATTCTCTTTGAAAAGACTCTGCCGAACATCTTCCACTAAATCAGCTTCACCATCCTGAGAGAAACGCAGTCCCTCTCTTATTTTCAAGGCAGCTTTACCCCACAAATAATCTGTTTCAGAAATATTCAGTGTGGGGTTGGCATCAATCAACTCGATATCATGCATCAACTTGTAGATCTCCACGTCGATTTCGCTCAGAGTTGCACCATACGAACACAAAAGAAGAAAATGCAGTTCTTTGAGATTGATTCCTGAATCTTTCCCACATTTGGAGAGCAGCACTCTGAGAAATTTGACAATTTCTAACTGCTTCAAGTAGTCAGGTGCTTCAAGACGACGACTTCCAACTTCGACAGAATGTGCGGATGATATGGAGAGAGAACTGATAGTTGGTGTAAACTGAGAGTGAGATATTAAGAGCTGGATATATGGTGCATACGAGCACTTCCCTCTAGATAACAAGGTAAAAATTTCTCTTAGTATCTTCAACGTCTTCAAGTCCTCAAATCTATACAGAAGAACTGATTTCATCAGTCTCTCCAGAAACGGAAGGGAATCCAAGTGAACAAGCTCCTCACACATGTGTTCCAAAAACTTTAGAATACTTCTCAATATGAAGTTTTCAAGGCTTTTGCACAGGGACCAAGATTTTTCTTGTTTTCCTTCGGAATTCCCTTTAAAACAACCATCAGATTTTTTGACAACACATTGCCAGCTATTAACTAAAGCATTTAGTAATGGCTTTGATAATTTCTCTCTGTTAGATCTCATTTCTGGAGAACTTTCCTTCACACAACTACCTGCTTCACGTTTAAGATGACACATACTGCTATCCTCAGGAAACAAACAAATCCTTGAAAGTGATACTTTTGCAACTACACGGATAACAACATTAAACATTTGATCTAATGACTGAACGTCCACTTCTTTTATCTCTGAATCTAACATCTCCTTGCAAGCACTAGTCTGAGGAATTATGGAATGGAATACCTTAAAGAGATCATCCTTTTTAGTTGGACTTTCAGTCAAAGCAAAGTGATACTCAAACATACGTACTGCCTTTCCAAGAAGACTCGCATTAAACATAGTGTCAATATCCTTGGTTGCTGACAAAAGAATCTCTTCATACTTCTCTTTAAAGATGCACCCAGAAAAAAACCTCGGCCACTGAAGAAAACCATTTATTAGTATATTTGAATAAACTGAAGTTATATCCAAACATCTACTAAACGGCTTCTCGAGTTTTGCAAAAAATGATGTCATATACGATAGCACAGCAGGCAGAAGCATGATAAACTGATCATCTGTAAGCGCAGAATCATCCTGTTTCTTGCTTAGCATGCTACAAAAATAGTGTCCAAAGACTGACAGATGCAAGGGACTGGACTCCACAAGATAGAACAATATATTGGCTCTGGTCATGTTTGCCTGGTTAATGCAATGGAAAATCAAGTCTTTAGGGGTTCTCCCAACAATCTGAGAAATTAACAAGGTCAACTGGTTAACACTATAATTCTGATAAAGTTTCCCCCTGAAAATGCCAGCCCCAACTTTAAGCAAACAAATATCTGCCGAATTCAAACCAAAAGAGGTAGAAATGTTGCATGCTATGCTATAGACTTCCTCGATGAGATTACTGTCATAATACGTTTCGTCTAATTCCCACAGCAAATCATATACCCCTCTCTTAGCAGCAGGCTGCTGTGAATACAATAGAAGCATTTCAAAAGCTCCGCCAGCAATATCCAATACCAAACTGAGAATCGTACTTGACTTTGTGCTTGCCAACCCCACGTCAATTTTACTCAGCATGGAACGAGCAAGATATAAAAGTTTAAGAGGTGATATAAATCTCAACAAAGCATGAATTAATTGTGCTGGTTGGAGAAGAGCAGGGAAACTTTGAGAACCAACACAAAGCTCAAACTTGACCATGAATTCCAAGAGAAGCCTGTCGACCAAGGCCTTAAAAGCCACAATAGATTTATCCGGTCTGAGATTCCCTTTCTGCAAAATGTGTTTCTCATCAAACAAAAACTTCTCACAAGTAGAAGCCAATAGATCAAGGATGTGCTGATCTATTTCACTAAAAACTTGCCTGCTCGTTATCAGCAAAGTTTCTGAAAAAATCTCAACATCCTGCACTCGAGGTAATGTGCTACAATCTAAGGGACTCTCCAACAGTGCCATCACAACTGGATGGCAAAGAACTGTCTGGGCCACTTTTTCCTTCCACTTTGCAGATGAAGCAAGCAAGTTATTCGAAGAGGGTCCAGAAACAAGCTGCGGTTCTGATATTTGAGAGAATAAGTGCTTCATGAGACGCAGGCAGATCTCAGAGAGTTGACAGAGTACTGGAGCTGGTTGAATCTTGTAAGATGATCGTATTTGGAAGAGCCAGAACAGTATTAATTGGATATTTGAGTCAAAACTTCCACTTTTAGGTTGCGAAACTTTTAGCAGCAGTAGCTCTGATATTCTAGGAAACTCTGGTAAGCAAGATATATCCATGCTCATAATTGCAGTAAGTAATACGGGAAAAGAAGCCTGTTCTAAAAACATAGAGAAGGGAGAAGATTCAATGTCACAAATGTCCATCTTACTTCTGATTTCTTCGGTTATGGATGAGTGGTCAGAAGAACCAATCTCACTATCTTCTGTTCCTTCACGTAGATTCCATGACCCAGTAAGTTCTGAACCTTGCCCAAATAAGTCAGGCGATAGCTTTGAAAGCTTTCCGAGGAAGTTTTCCTCTAGAAAGGTGATGGACTGTAAAAATGAGAATGGTGTTCCGTAGAAAGCCCAAGAAACAGCCATCACAGAAGCAAAATTTTTCAAGATGGATTCAGGTGTTGCACAGATTAATGCAGAAGAAAATGCTTTAACTATTCCTGCAATTTGATCTGGAGAAATGCTTCTCACCATTCCTTTGATCTCAACAAGAGTATCTGCAAAAGAACTGTCAGTAAGTAGACCCTTTGTTCTTCTGGTTTGCATGCTAAAAGGCTTTTCGTCTGACAAAGATTGTGAGAAAAGCAACAACATTCTCAAAGGCCTCCATTCACATAACGAATCCTTAGATCCATCAACAACCTCGGACAAAACTGACTGGACCAAACATGAGAGTGATCTGGAATCGGCCTACAATATTCAATAGATAGAAAAGATATTGGTATCTTAAGTGGTAAAAGAAATATCCCCC